CTTGCTGGAAGCCACCCCAAAGGCACATTTCAAGGGGTTGAGCCTCATCCTGTACCTTCTCAAGATTTGGAAGGTGTTGTTGAGGTGCGCTATTTGATTCTCTGCTTCTAAGCTCTTCACCAGCATGTCATCCACGTAGACCTCCATTCTCTTGCCAATGAGGTCGGTAAACATTTTGTTCACGAGTCTTTGGTAGGTTGCTCCGGCATTTTTCAACCCGAAAGGCATCATTCTGTAGCAATAGAGACCTCGGTCCGTGATGAAAGAGGTGTTCTCTTCATTGGCCGGGTGCATGGGGATCTGGTTGTAGCCGGAGTATGCATCCATGAAACTCAACAACTCGTGCCCAGCCGTGGATTCCACCAATTGGTCAATCCTTGGAAACGGAAAGCTATCTTTCGGGCAAGCTCTGTTAAGGTTGGTAAAGTCGATGCATACCCTCCATTTGCCATTGTGTTTCTTAACCAAAACCGGGTTGGAGACCCACCTCGGATAGGTGGCCTCCCTGATGGAGCCATTTTGGATGAGCTTCTGAACCTCTTCCTTTAGGGCCTCATACCTCTCAGGGTTGAGGGCTCTTCGTTTTTGTCTATGCGGGGCAACATTAGGATCAATTTTCAAGTGGTGGCAGCTGATCTTGGGGTCTATGCCCACCATGTCCTCATGCCTCCAAGCAAAGAAGTTAAGGTTCTTGCCTAGGAAGTCCTTAATCTTTTCTCTCAAAATGCTGGATAGGCCTCTTCCTATTTTCAACACCTTGGACGGATCTCGGGGGTCGGCTAAGAAGCTCTCAAGTTCCTCTACAGGGGATGCTTGAGGCTCATGTTCCATTATGCGGGGGTCGATCTCATCAACGATCAGCACCTCCTGAATAAGCGGTGCGTCAATCATATCGACATCTTCCTGGTCAGTGGGAGTGTCGCCTGGGACCTCCGCCATGATCACGTGGACGTCCCGGGGCTCTACCTTCTTAATGGAGCTTAGATAGCACTCTCTCGAACCTCTCTGGTCGCCTCTTACCGTTGCTACCCCATTTTCTATTGGGAATTTCATGCATAGGTGGTGGATGGAGGTGACTGCTCCCAATTCCTTTAGGGCCGGTCTGTCCAAGACTCCGTGGTAAGCCGGCCGGCTGTCAACTACGAGGAATTCCATGAAGTTCATCGTAGTTTGGAGAGATTCTCCCATCTCCAATGCCAGTGTTATCTTTCCTCTCGGAGTGATGCTATCTCCGGTAAATCCGTACAATGGAGTGGTGGTGGACATCAACTGATGGTCCAATATCATCTTGTCAAAGGCGGACCCAAATAGGATGTTGACGGAGTTGCCGTTGTCGACTAGCATTCATTTGAGCCCATTTCGGGCTATGATAGCCCTTACCACCAGCGCATCGCAGTCGGGGTAATGAACTCCCTCGGCGTCTTCCTGGGTGAAGACAATTGGTGGTACTTGGTTTCTTCGAGAGCTACTGTCCACAATGTAACTCGTCATAGGGGGGTGCTTAGCCTTCCTAGCATAATTTCTTTTGGCGTTCCGTATTTCACCGCCAACATAAGGGCCTCCAAATATGGTATCTATCTCGTGGATAGGGGCCTCATCTTGAGCTTGCCTATTTCTTCGATGTTTATGCCCTCCCCTAGGCCTCTCTGTGTCTTGCTCTCTTTGCCTTGGGGATACATCCCGTTGACAAGGAGCGCCCACCTCATGTCCATGTTAGTTGTCTTGCCTGGGCGGGGGCCTGTTCGCCTGGGGTGAGTTATGTCTTTCTCTGGCGGGTTCTTGCCGGTAGCGGTGTGCATAGTCTCTGCAATTCGCGGTGTCGTGCCCATAGGACCTGTGGTGCAAGCAGTATCCAGGGAGGTTCGAATTGGACCTATTTCTAGGTGCAAAGCCTCGGCCTCGGCCTCTTCCTCTACGGGGTCCCTGCTGGGCCTCCATCTGATGTGGGTCAACAGTTGGGTTGACATCCTCATATACCAAGGTTGGAACCGCGTTCAGAGTTGTGGTGGCCAGGGCTTGGCCGGAGTTCTCATTTTCGGCTCGGTTCATCTGGTAGTCCATGAGGTGGGAGGTCGGTCCCCTACCTCGCTGTCTTTGAGGAGGTGGGAGGCCTCTGCTTGCTCTGTTCCTATGCTCAATCAATTCTTCATTGATTATCTCCCTTCTCATCATCTCTAGTAGGGCGTCATAGGTGGTGGGGTCTTGATTCTGCACATCCCTCCAGAATAGGGTGTTCATGTTCAAGCCTCCTCTCAATGTAGATAGTGCTTCTCTGTCGGTGACTTGTACGCAGTAGGTCATCTCATCGGTGAAGCGGGATATGAAGCTTTTCAGGGACTCGCCATGTGCCTGTTTCATGTCTTGGAGACGCTGGATGGGGGCCTCTCCTTCCTTGCTCACTGCGAACCTCTTCAAGAAGGTAGTTTTGAACTCAGGCCAGCTTCGAATGCTCTCGGATGGTAGCCTACTATACCAAATTTCGGCCGCTCCACTGAGGGTTAAATGGAATGCTCTGCACTTTACGGCTGGGGTGGCACCCCTCAGGTTCATGTGAGTTTTGTAAGCGTTGAGGTGCTTTTCTGGGTCACCTCTCCCATCATACTTTGGTATTTTTGGCATGACATAGTGGCTCGGGACCTGGGCATTTCTTAGTTCTCTTGAAAATGGTAGGTTCTCATCATCATCGTCCAAGTCACAGGATCTCTACTGCTCGTCAGAATCGTAGTCTTCGGCCTCGTACCTCGGTTGTTGGTTAGACGGTCCGGGCCGGTTCCTAGCCTCTTCCTCTCTCCTTTGCGGCCTACTTCTAGGCAGGACAGCGCAGGGGGCATTTTCATGCCTTCTCTCCGACTGCTGGGGCATCGGAGGTGGAGGCTGTGGCCTCGTCTGGGGCTGTTGAGTCTGTTGTTGACTGGGCCTTAGTTCGGCAGGGCTGATTCTGTCAAAAACACTTCCTGATCTCCTATGTCTTGGGTCTTGCTCATACGGAGGTGGAAAGTTATCATGGCTCATTTGGACCTCGGTGGGTCGGCCAGATGCGTAGTTGGAGGAAATGTCGACTCCCACTTCCCTCTCGAATGGGCTTTCACCCCGGCCATAGTCTGGCGAGGCAGCCCTATGACTCTGGGGAAGCTTTCCTGACCTTGCATTTGGGCCATGTGCTCCCTCATGGCCAAGTTTTGGTTGGCTATAGCCCTCATGTTGGCTACCATATAGCCATTTCTCTTGATAGTCGTGCTGTCGCACGCATCCCACCTCTCCTTTGGTGGTGGTGGAGCCTTGTCCGAGCTGCTGGGGCAGCAGGCTGGGGAGGCACATTCGTGCTTTCTCTTACCCTCCTTGGGGGAGTATCTTCGTTAGAACTCATTTTTCTTTTATCAAACTTAGATTTCTCTAAGTGATAAGGGTTCCTCATATTCTTTTTCAAGAACAAATCCTTTTTCAAGGGGGGTTACCCAAATATTTTTTCAGTAAGCTTCTACCACAAGGTTGTTCGTGGTTATGGTATGGTTTCCCATAGACGGCGCTAATCTGTTGACCCCAAAAAGTGTTCCAACAGATGCCGGTCCCACCCGCGCTTGCGTGGGCAAATGTCCAACAAGCTAAGACACGTGGACGGTCTAAAACGAGCGGTTCAAAGAGGCGTGGGAGTAGCCCAAGGACGCGGGACGGTGACGTTCGGAATCCGGCGGGTTGTTCGTAATCCGATTGTACAATAATTACCAACCGGTGCTCGTAAATATATATGTAAAAGTGTATAAACTCGATTTGTGTATTGCAAGTAACTGAGAGAGAGTTAAGTAAATGTAGTCTTTAGTATTGATTCTTGCATTAGCCTTTGACATTACACAATGGGAGTATTTATAGTGATACATACGAAATGGGAGCCCTTGGATGAAGTGGCACGTGGCCTCATCTCTTTAGTTCAAACGTCTGTTCTTAGGTATAATACTTGACTTGCTAGCTTACGGCACATTTACTACTTGCGCAGGTCCTTTATACTAGTGACAAGACTTGTCTTTTATGCTTGTGACAAACGTTCCATCAGTTATTCGAATAAGATCTCTGAGCAGGCGATCTCTTGGGAGAAGTGACAGTGGAGGAAGCTCCTCGTGGTTAAGAGGCTCGTGCATCAGTTTCGGGGCTTCGACCATTTGACAAATACTTCCACCTGAGACCTCAGTTAAATTCAACAGGTTCCATGCTTTGGGTCATGGGGCTCGGTAGCTGGACTTCGGCAGAGTACGTCGGATCGTGAGCCTCGGTGGATGGACCTCGGCTCGAAGAAGTTCGGATGTAGCCCACCTCGACAATGTGTGCCACCTCGGCAGGAACGCCACGTGGATCAGGATGTGTGGGCCATTGACCCGGGTGGGTAGGACAGGTGAGACAATACGCAACAGATAAGTTTCAAACTAAGTGTACACAATGAGTGCACACCTAGCTTAATTCTATCGAAGATATTGAATTGGTATTGTCATATTCTCGCAGACTTGGGTTTAGACCAAAGTCATCTTTATGTTCATGATTTCAAATCCATCAATCCTATTTAAAAAAGATAAAACCAAAAAAAAAAAAATTAAAAATTAAAAAAATTAAAAAAATTTAGTTAATTACTTAATTAATTAAGACGGCTTAGCTTACCAACAAACGAATGTAAGACATGGCCGTACCTTTGTCCATAAACTAATATAATTCTATTATTATTTGAACGAGTCTCCATTTATATAGTTTCAATCTTTCTTTCTTTATTTTTTTTTTTATTTTTATTTTTATTTTTTAAAGATTAATCTCTTATCTGCTCTCTAATTGACCCCTTCTATTGATGAGTTTCATATTAAAAAAATGCATTCAATTACTGTCCATTCTTACTCAACACTCGCCATGACTGCTAATTTTACATATTAACTCACGAATAATACAATTGGTATTGATAATTTTAATGGGCTCAAATGCTATGTCTGAATTGTTAATTAACAGTCACAAGTGTCAATTTGTAGGCAATCTCAAGGGAGGCGAAAGAGTATGAACTTGGAGAAGGCAAATACTATTTGGTAGTGGTTTTCAATGCAATTACTTGGCAGTGTTTCTGTTGATAAATAATGGCAAATAATAGTGTTACCGTAATTTATATTTGGGCAGAGTAACGACGTTTGGATGGTTTTGAACGGTCGAGGCAAGGGTTCGACTCTTTCTCCTTAAAACGATAATGCCCCGCACTGATACTAACTGTATTGCAGCACTCGTTTCTCAAGATACAACGACCTCGTCTTGTAATAGTAGTACTCCAAATTACAAGACCCGATAAACTCGTAAAGTTTAGATCTCTCCACACACACTAGATGACTGGAATGCACGAAAAGTAATTTTCGAGGACTAAATTATAAAACAGAAATTATGCAAGGACAAAGGGATAATTTCGGGAGAGTAGGAATGAATAAAAATCGGGGCATGGGGGCCTATTTATAGATGTTGAAAGGTTGTGTCCCAACAGACACAACTGCCGAAATGTTGTGTCCAAAAGACAAACTGTTTGGACAGTCAACCGCCACTTTGGACAGTCCACCGTCACTTGGACAGTCAACCGCCACTTTGACAGTCAACCGGCTAAATTCTAGAAGCACCGTACCACGTGTCACACATAGAAAATTCGGGGAAGGAAAAAAAATTAATAATATAAAATATATTATTATTATTATAAAATAATATAATTAAATATTATTTTACCAAAAAATATATAACATCTTGGCCCAAGCCCACGACCCGTGATCGTGATCGTGACCGTGCCGAGCCGAGCCGACCGGTCGGACGGACGGCAGCGGCGGCGCGCGCGTGTGGGTTTTGGCTTAACCTACTAGCATGTAGGTTCTCTCCCCCTCAAAGACTATTGGTACCCCTTGGGGCCCAAACCCAAGTCCCAAACTTGAGTTATATAAGGTGGTTTATATTTTTCTAGTTTTCCTATGTGGGATTAGTATTTTTCAATTTCCCACCTATTTTATTTCAACATCAAATGGGTATCTTTTGACCTTAATTTCTCATTCACCCTAAATTGGTTTTGAGAAAATAAATATACCATATTAATCTAATCATGGAGTAGAACACATTCGGCCAAAGATATCTTATTTCCGATTAACGGGACCCACTAAATTAATTGGTCAAAAGTTGGTCAAACAAACTAATTAAAACCAATTTTTCCAACAATCCCCCACATGAATGGAAATTAATGCAGTAGACTATGCAAACCCTAAAGAGAGATCAGGCGGAATGTTATCGCATCTGGATAGGTACCTTATGGGTTTGAACCTTCCGTAATAGAATACTATCGAATTTACTTGGCTAATCAGTGAACGCGGTGTCTTGAACTGTCAGCCGTTTTTGTAAATCAAGACAATAGTATCAACACAATAACCTTCCTAACATTTTCGAGTTCTCACTGTTGTGTTCATTTTGGCCTTTAACAACTCTTGGATTTCATAAGTGCTTTAGAGAACTTTGAAACATTCTCATAGAAGCGGCCACACTTCACACTTGTATAGGTGATCTCCTATTAAGAGTACCTGCCGTACTCTACTTAGGTAGTCCAAGATATAGGAATCATTAAAAGTATAACTTAACCTGAAACTTTCTGCAGATAGCACTTCCTTATCATAGGAATGGGTAGGAGTTAACTCCGAAGTGCTTATTGAATCTTCATAACTTAGTTGTCCCATTGAACCAAGATTTTGGGATCTCCAGTCAGCAAGGTTGGGTTACCATTACAAAGATTCTTATGTAGTAGGCTTTAAGCCCATTCCCCTTGATAGGCAGTATACTTGATCTCTTGGTAAGCCTTTGGTAAGTGGATCTGTCAGATTTTCTCTAGACTTTACATAATCTATGGAAATAATACCATTTGAGATCAACTGCTTAACTGTATTATGTCTTCGAGGTATATGTCGAGACTTACCATTATACATACTACTTTGTGCTCTACCGATAGCCGACTGACTATCACAATGTATACTAATTGCAGGCACAGGCTTAGGCCAACATGGAATATCCTCTAAAAAATTTCGAAGCCATTCTGCTTCCTCTCTAGCTTTATCTAAAGGTATGAATTCAGATTCCATTGTGGATCGAGCTATACATGTTTGTTTAGAGGATTTTCAAGATACAGCCGCACCACCAATGGTAAAAATATACCCACTAGTGGATTTTGAGTCTTTTGTATCTGATATCCAATTAGTATCATTGTATCCTTCTAATACAACTGGATATCTCGTATAATGTAATCCAACATTTGAGGTGTATCGTAGATATCTTAGAACCCTTACCAGTGCTTTCCAATGGTCATTATTTGGGTTACTTGTATATCTACTAAGTTTGTTTACTGCATATGCAATATCCGGACGAGTGCAGTTTGTAATATAAATTAGACTGCCTATTATCCGAGAGTATTCTAATTGAGATACGGGTTTGCCTTTATGTTTAGCCAACTGTAGACTTAAATCTACTGGTGTTTTAACTGGACTTTCATCATACATATTAAACTTTTTAAGTACAATCTCAATATAGTGAGATTGAGACATTACAAGTCCCTCAGATGTTTTAAGAATTTTAATTCCTAATATTACATCTGCAATACCCATATCTTTCATGTCAAAATATTTTGTCAACATTTTCTTGGTATTTGTTATCATATCATAACTACTACCCACAATTAGCATGTCATCAACATATAGACATACAATTATATATGCATTAGGAGTAGTTTTAATATAAATACATTTATCACATTCGTTAATCTTAAAACCATTTGACAATATAGTTTTGTCAAATTTTGCATGCCATTGTTTTGGCGCTTGTTTTAGTCCATATACTGACTTGACGAGTCTACGCACCTTTTTCTCCTGTCCAGGAGCGATAAACCCTTCGGGTTGTTCCATGTAAATTTCTTCTTCTAGCTCACCATTTAAGAAAACTGTTTTGACGTCCATCTAATGGATTTCCAAATTATGTAATGCTGCAATTGTAATTAATACTCTAATTGATGTTATCCTTGTCACAGGTGAGTATGTATCGAAAAAATCAAGGCCTTCCCTTTGTTTGAATCCTTTAACTACCAATCTAGCCTTGTATTTATCAACTAATCCATCAGTCTTTAATTTTCTTTTGAAAATCCATTTACAACCTAATGGTTTATTACCAGGTGGGAGATCTACCAATTCTCAGGTATGATTCTGCATAATAGAATCATTTCACTATTGATAACCTCTTTCCAGAATGGAGTTTCTGGACTAGACATTGCTTCATTGAATGTCCTAGGCTCATTTTCTAACATATAAGTTAAAAAATCTGAACCAAAAGATGTAGATGTATTGGTTTTTTTGCTGCGTCTTGGTTCTTCATCACTTTGAGGATTACTAATCGCAGAATCATAAGTTTGTTTTTGCAGGCTTATTTCTTTCCTATCTTTACAAGGAAACTTGTCCTCAAAAAATACAGCATTCCTAGATTTAATGATAGTATTTTCATGTATATCCGGAATGTCAGACTTATAGGAACCGATAAGCACTACTGTTATTAGCATATCCAATGAATATGCAATCAATAGTTTTAGGCCCTATTTTAATTTGTTTAGGCTTTGGTACTTGTGCCTTAGCCAAACACCCCCACACTTTTAAGTAGTTGTACGAAGGTTTATGACCTTTTCATACCTCATAAGGAGTTTCGTTCCTACCTTTGTGTGGTACTTTATTTAGAATGTGGTTAGCTGAGAGAATTACTTCCTCCCACAAATTCTGTGGTAAACCAAAATTAACCAACATAGCGTTCATCATTTCTTTTAGAGTGCGATTTTTGCGTTCTGCAATACCATTTGATTGAGGTGAATACGGAGCTGTAGTTTGATGAATAATCCCAGAATCTGAACAAAATTCATCAAACGGTGCTCCATATTCCCCACCTCTATCACTACGAACAAATTTTATTTGTTTGCTTAGTTATTCTCAACCTCATTCTTGTACTGTTTAAATGCTTCTAAAGCCTCGTCTTTACTCCTTAACAAAAAGACATAATAATACCTTGTGCAATCATCTATAAAAGTAATAAAATACTTTTTACCTCCTCTAGTTTGCACAAACTTTAAATCACAAATATCACTGTGAATTAATTCTAGAGGATTCGAGTTCCTTTCAACTGAATGAAACGGTGTTTTTGCTAATTTAGCCTCTACACATGTTTCGCATCGATGATTTTGATCAAAGGACATTGAAGGTAATACATCTAAACTTACTAATCTTCGTAATGTATTAACATTTACATGTCCTAACCTATCGTGCCATAAGTTAGAAGACTCAATCAAGTAAGTAGAAGATTTATTTTTATTAATATCAAAATCACGGAGTACAGGCATTACATTCAATTTGAATAGCCCATTGGGTAAGTACCCTTTGCCTACAAACATTCCATTTTTGGTGAGTACAAACTTGTCAGATTCAAATACCAGCCTAAACCCATTCTTGCTTAAAAGAGCTCCAGATACCAAGTTTTTGCGAATATCGGGAACATGTAGCACATCGATGAGTGCTACTTCTTTCTCTGATGTCATTTTCAGCACTACTTTACCTAGACCAAGAACTTTTGATGTTGCTGAGTTGCCCATGAAGAGTTGTCGCCCATTGATAGGAGTGTAAGATGAAAACATCTCCTTATCCGCACAAACGTGACGAGTAGCGCCAGTATCAACCGAACCATTCTCTCAGATTATCCATCATGTTTGCTTCAAATACAACAGCCGAGAGCATTAGTTCAGACACTCCATTAGACAGCCTGTCTTCTTCAGTCAAGTGCACTTGGTCCTTTTTGTTTTACTTTTTCTGCCGGCAGTCCTTTGCAATATGACCAGGCTTACCGCAGTTATAGCAATCTCCTTTGAATTTCTTGGCCTTGCTCTTTTGCTTGCTATTATTCGGGTGCTTCCTTTTCTTGCTAGTATTTGGCTCCACCAAGTTGACTATAGCCTCCATTTGCTGCTTTCCAGACTTCTTTTCAGCATTTCGATTGTCTTCCTCAATTCTTAATCTAACAATCAAATCTTCAAGTCCCATTTCCTTGCGTTTATGTTTTCAAGTAGTTCTTGAATCTTTCCACATTGGTGGTAATTTTTCGATAATTGCAGCTACCTAAAATGGTTCACAGAGCTTCATGCCTTCTGCATGTATATCGTGTAAGATAAGTTGTATCTCTTGGACTTGAGTCATTACTATTTTAAAATCTACCATTTTGAAGTCCAGGAATTTGCCTACAACAAATTTCTTCAATCCAGCATCTTCTGTTTTGTACTTCTTTTCCAATGACTCCCATAGTAATTTAGCCGTTTTGACGGAATAGTATACGTTGTATAGTGTGTTGTCAAGGCAATTGAGGATGTAATTTCTGCACAAAAAGTCACTATGACTCCAAGCATTAAATGCTGCTCGTTTTTGAGAATCTGTTTCCTTTTCCTCAACAGTTGGAGCATCCTCTTTCAAGATTCTGACCAGATTCAGAGTCGTGAGATAGAACAACATTTTCTGTTGCCATCTCTTAAAATCCACTCCCGTGAATTTTTTCGGTTTTTCCCCGTGAGCATTGTTAGGGGGTACGACAGACGTACTACTACTTACCATTATTGTTTTAAGATTGTTGATAAATAATAACAAATAATAATGTTACCGTAATTTATATTTGGGCAGGGTAACGACGTTTGGACGGTTTTGAACGGTCGAGGCAAGAGTTCGACTCTTTCTCCTTAAAACGATAATGCCCCGCACTGGTACTAACGGTATTGCAGCACTCGTTTCCCAAGATACAATGACCTCGTCTTGTAATAGTAGTACTCCAAATTACAAGACCCGACGAACCTGTAAAGTTTAGATCTCTCCACACACACTAGATGACTGGAATGCACGAAAAGTAATTTTCGAGTACTGAATTATAAAACAGAAATTATGCAAGGACAAAGGGATAATTTTGAGAGAGTAAAAATCAATTCTGATTTTTGGAATGAATAAAAACCGGGGTATGGGGGCCTATTTATAGATGTTGAAAGATTGTGTCCCAACAGACACAACTGTCAAAAAGTTGTATCCAAAAGATACAAACTATTTGGACAGTCAACCGCCACTTTGGACAGTCGACCGGCTAAATTCTAGAAGCACCGTACCACGTGTCACACACAGAAAATTCGGGGAAGGAAAAAAATTACAGTTGTGTCCAAAAGATACAAACTGTTTGGACAGTCAACCGCCACTTTGGACAGTCGGCCGGCTAAATTCTAGAAGCACCGTACCACGTGTCACACACAGAAAATTCGGGGAAGGAAAAAAAATTAATAACATAAAATATATTATTATTATTATAACAGCTTGGCCCAAGCCCACGACCCGTGACCGTGCCGTGCCGAGCCGGCTGGTCGGATGGACGGTGGCGGTGGCGTGTGCGTGTGGGCTTTGGCTTATAGGTTCTCTCCCCCTCAAAGACTATTGGTACCCCTTGGGGCCCAAACCCAAGTCCCAAACTTGAGCTATATAAGGTGGTTTATATTCTTCTAGTTTTCCTATGTGGGATTGGTATTTTTCAATTTCCCACCTATTTTATTTCAATATCAAGTGGGCATCTTTTGGCCTTAATTTCTCATTCATCCTAAATTGGTTTTGAGAAAATAAATATACCATATTAATCTACTCATGGAGTAGAACACATTCGGCCAAAGAAATCTTATTTTCAATTAACGGGACCCACTAAATTAATTGGTCAAAAGTTGGTCAAACCAACTAATTACAACCAATTTTTCCAACAATCCCCCTTTGGGGTCAATTGGAGTCATTTTCTGCTCTTCATCTCTTCTATCGGGCATCGTCATAGCTGCTCCATTACCCGTCACAAAAGTATTAGCAGTTATTTTTTACCATGAAAGGTTTCAAGCAGAAAAGGGCATTTCTCTTTTCCTCTCACTTTGGGGTTTTATTTCCTATTTCTACGGTGAGATCAAACACAACGGCAACAGGAAGAATGTTACGCATGATGCAAGCCAAACTGAGTTGACTCCAGTTGTTCCCTGATCAATTTTATATGTAAAAATTTTGCACCTCCATCCCAATTATATAAGCTTATTTCGTTTTTTACATGGATTAAGAAACCTTCTTTAATGTCATTAAAAAATTAGTTTTACCAAGACTTTTCCAAGTTTACCTCTATTTAATTTTCAATATGTGTGGTAAATTGTTGTTAGAATTAGTAAAGAATTTGAAGAAGAAGAAATGAGGGTTGTTCCATGTTTCCAAGAAGTGGAAAATGTTTGTATTTAAATGATTTCAAGAAAAAGTCATATTAAGTGGGAAAAAATTGAATAACGGTATACTGGTAAATGAACAAAACAAAATATTCTAAATTAGAAAACAAGCCTATATATTTTGGACCAGAAGAAAGAAAAAAAAAAATGAAACTCAACCTATATAATTGGGGGCTAATGGAGTACTTAATCATGTACAGAAGAAAATAAAAGAATTACAATTCCTACCACAAATTTGCTTTGTGTTTAGACAAAAAATGTAATAAGACTATTTATATAATCTTGGAACACGAACGACTATCTATTATCTACATTTATCCAATTGTCTAGCATTCAATAAAAATCTACACAGAGAATAAGAATGAGAGGATTATGATTTCTCTTTTCTTGTGATAGGAAGAAATAATTTTCTTTTCCTTCTCTCTTTTTACTCTCATTTGTGTTTGACTTATTAGGTTTCCGATTTCAATACTTAATGATGTGAACTATTATTTTATCTCATCAAAATACGATAAACTAAAATACCATTTCAGTTTATCATTATTTTGCCTAAATTAATTAATTCACATTCTCGTCCTGGGATTGATATCAAGTAATGTGTCAAGGTAACACATGTGACGAAAAATATCATATGGTATGACAATCAAACTTATTCATTTACCGTGAAACTATAATTCATTCGTAGATATGATCTGATCAATTACAAGATATAAATTGTGTCAATCTCAATTATCGATCATATCTTTCATTTCACTATTAAGTCAATGTAAGTTGAAAACTCTTTTTGACTTGTGAATATACCTTGACTAAAGATTTCATTATCAACTTAATTGAATAAAATAGAGATCAAATATCTTACTTTCTAAGATGACGAATCCTATATTGATCATTCACAACCCTCAAATGATTCTTGACGTATTCGAATAATTTCGTATGAGCGACTCTCGGCAAAGCAACGCTAACATTACTGAACTATGATAGTCCCCAAATAAAGCACTATGATTACCTCAATCGATGGACCAATTTCACTATTGAACGTTAGATATTAACCACTAATACTCAAATAGTTATTCATGTAAAATCTCTTTTGCGAGTTTCCACTATTTTGTTCTATTCACGCGTTCATTTAAGTGTACTACACTTTAGCTTATGAGAAGAGCTACTTACTTCACAAAAGAAATGTCACATATGAAGGTCTATCCATAATAATGATATTCGTATCTCGTTATTTCTTATGTGGATTATTTATAATCAAATCATATTTAATTTGTGTCTAATATTCACATCTCATCGTGATTAACAAATTACTAAATTTTGAATCTATGGACTCTATGGTTTAATTTATTAGAATAATAATTCAAATAAATTATGGACCTTATCATAAACAAAATGCTCAATAATATTAAAAGTGCTTACGTTCAAAATTGATTGGATTTAGGACATGAAACTTAGACTATTTATGCATAGGACATTGCCAATAGCTATAGATTTCTATTTTTCTGTATGTTTTATTCTCTAATGACAGAATTTCACACAATAATTCATATTATTGAATCACCATGTCTTAAAACTTAAGGTATTAGAGATAATGCATTTATTATCATATTTTCTCTCGAACATGTCCCATCATGTGAAAACATTGACAAGATAATTTACATTGCCACGTCATCAAGTAAGATGCATGAATAATATTAGCACATCAAGCTACCAATATAACAAGTGATTTCATATTTCTCATTGATAAAGAAATCTGATATAGATATGCAATAAACACATCGTATAAAAATTCCTATCCAGACATTACAAGATTTTAAACGAGCTACATGAAGGAAGATTTTTTACCACATCAATTTATCAGATAGCCCATCATAGTTTGCAAGAACACAAATTTCCTTCCCACCATCTCCCCATTTGGTAACACTAAGCGAAAAAGACAGAAGACAATTCTAGCTTTGATAAAGCATATTAGTTAATACGTAATGCCTGAGGAAAATGAGAGAAGGAGCATCACAGATACTCCATCTGAGATAAATGCGTCAACGATATTTTAAATGGAATGGAGACCCAGAAGGAGTGATCAAATCAAGTGTTTACATAAACTTTTATCCTTCGTTCACTCAATATCACGTTAGATCTTTCTATTGAATTATTTGCTAGAGATAACTAACTTTAAAATTGTAGATCAATTTAGATTTAGATATACTATATCACTACCAAAGAATATGTACTAATAGCCCGTGTACTCACAATTTCGGGCTTACTTGGTTTTGGACTTTCCTGCATTCCCTTTTGTGCTAAAAATCTCGTCACAGGGGGTACTCTGTACAAACAAAGAATTGAAATAAGCTAAAGTCTCATTTTTCCGGCATTTTCACTTTGGTCCCTCAATAATTGAAATTTAGCTCTCAAGTTCTCAAGCTTTACATATAAGCCACTCATAAAAAATGCTACATGTACTTCAGGCGGTGTCCACCTGGGTGTGTGGATTCCCCTCCATGTAAGGGAGGTGGACACCTAAATGGACACTGCGACATACATGTACCATCGCCTATATAAAAATTTGGGGTACTACATGGTCAATCAACTCTAAAAGGGGCAACAAGTTCATCATGTGCAAAACTATCTTTAGGACCTACTATAACTAGAGACGTTTAAGTAGAGATTGATAATTGGGATAGTCCTCCAAATTTAAATCAAATTTGATTAATGGATATAAACTGAACTTTATGGATTTCTATACTTAGCTATAATATAAGATATGGCTAAACAACGAAATCGTCAAACCGGAAAATCGAACCAAAACCGTTTTCTCGAAACCGTTGGTTTGGTTCCACGTGAATCCATCAACATTTTGTTTTTGAATTGAATATTCATGAGTCATCACAACTGTGAATGTAAAACCGTCAAATTGGGTAAAGTGTTGAACAATTAATATTAAACCACATTCATCGATTCTCCATTATAATTAATCAGACAGTAAAATCTAGATTTTAATTAAAATGTGCACATTTCATTTCCTTCTAATAATTTTCTCAAATTTTGTTCAAATTCAAGTCAGATTACCAAAATTCTTTTATTTTTTGGTAATTGTTTTTATATTTTTATTGGTAGTTATGTTGTTCTGTTCTAATAATTGTTGGTTTTTCGATCACCCTTAAAGTAATTCGCTAATATTTAGATGAAGTAGAAGTTTTGAATGATTCACAAAAAGTCATAGTAGCTAGGTACTATTGTATTTGAATTTTTTTATTCATTTTCTTTTATTAATTATTTTATATCATTTAACTATAATCAATGAATTCATGTACTATATTCTTATATTTATGCAAAAAAATGAATCATGTATTACACTTGAATAAGGACGTCGTAGCGTCGACTAAGAGTTTAAAATATTTATATCATGTTGTTGCATTATAATGGTTATAATTATATAACATTGATTTGTAATTTTTTTAATAATACAATTTATGTTTTAACATGAAATTTTAGACTTATATTTATGATTTAACTTATTTGATATATTATTATTTTTTTTTTGGTTAAACTGTGGTTTTGAATCCAACCAAAAAAAAAAGGGTTTGGAATGATTTGTTTGGTTTTGAAAAATTTCAAACCATTTTAAATGGTTTGATTTGAAAATTTGTTTCAAACCGTGCAAATTGAATCGTGTTCATCCCTATTATAAGACAGCTATATTCTATAATTAATAAACATATGATAGGTTTAGATTCGATTATATATGAGACTATGAGTTAAACAAGAATATACAATTGTAACTTCTTTATTTGAAGTTTTAACCATATTGGGCTTTTAACGTCGTAAAAAGTTGTATTGCATTACGCCTAACTCTCCAAATCGTTTCTTAGGTAGATTCACTCGGCAAAAAAATTGATAAATCTAAAACTCTACCAAAATATGCCCCCATCAATAATGGTTCTTTTCTTCTAAAGACAACATCGTGTCCGCTATCAATATTGAAGAGGCAATATATTCACCGAAAAGACAATCCAATGAATTCTAATTCTACAGCTAATTGATAATGACAAAAAATATAAGCATTATGCCTAGATCCAATCAATTTTGAACATATACATTTTACATATGTTCAACGCTTTTTATTTATGACAAATCTATTATTTAATTGATTAAATTATTATTCTAATAAATTGAATTAATAGAGTTCGTAAATTCAAGTTTTGGTAACTTGTTAGTCACAAGAAGTTGTGGTAGTGAGAAATAAATTATATATGACTGAATCTTAAATTATTTATAGTCGTAAGTAATAGTAAGATACGGATACTGCTATTACTGATAAATCAGAACGTGTAGCAATTCTCATTTATGAAGTGAATAGTTGATCTTATAAGTTAAAAAGGTAGTGACATTTATCTCCCATTTGGCCACCATTATTTGAAATTTCAATGGTTGTAGTGGTTTTCAAAGAATAAGTGATCAAAAATGAAGAAAAAGTCTTACAATTACATATAATATTATTTTATTGGAGAAAGTATGCTTGATAAGAAGAGAGACAAAAATGAATTATAAAAGAATGATGTTTCTAATTCTACAGCTAATTGATAATGACAAGAAATAAAGTATTGTGCCTATGTCCAACCGATTTTGAACATATGCACTTCTAAATTTGTTCAACGCCTTTTATTTATGATAGATATATTATTTAATTGATTAAATTATTATTCTAATAAATTGAATTAATAGAATCCGTAAATTCAAGTTTTGGTAACTGGTTAGTTACAAGAAGTTGTGGTAATGAGAAACAAATTACATATAACTGAATCTTAAATTATTCATGGTCGTAAGTAATAACAAAATACAGATACCTTTATTATGGATAGATCAAAATGTGTAGCAATTCTCATTTGTAAAGTGAGTAGTTGATCTTACAAGTTAAAAGGTGGTGACATTTAGCTCCTGTTTGACCACCATTATTTAAAATTTTAATGGTTGTAGTGGTTTTTAAAGAATGCATGATCAAAAAGGAAGAAAAAGTTTTAGAATTACATGTAATATTACATTATTAAAGAATGCATGATTGATAAAAAGAGTGATAAAAATGAACTATAATTTTAATGGAGCCAAAAAGGGGCTCAAAAGGATAACTAAAAGAATGATGTTGCTAATTAATTAATTGACAGGTATTGGACATTTGTACAATTAATTAATGTGTTTGCTTATTAATGAACCAAATTATTTAATTCATGGATCAAGTTTAATTTATTAGATTAATTAAAATTGGATCGGGTTAAGTTTAAGTGATGAGCCAAACTCACCTAAGTTTCTATTATTAAGATATTAGGATTTGAGAAATCATAATAAACATTTATAAACTTGCTAGCATAAGGAAAGAAAAAATCCTAATTCTTTCATTTTAATTCACTGTGTGGATTTTTATCAAAGCCTGGACAATTGAATAACTGATTGTTCTTTACCGAATTAATTAAAAGTATAATTTTTATCATAGTTTCTATCTATATACAAAACATATTTGCGGTAGAAATTGAAATTATTTTAGTGCTGATTAAATAAATTTTTAATAGTGATATCAAAGCCTATTTTTATGCTTATTAGAAATTATTTTGCATGTTAGAACAATCAAAAGTTGATTGTTATTATTTTTCTTGAATCTAGTAATTTAGAAAAAGTATTTTCATGTTTAAAAAAATCTATTTTTTTAAACGAAAATTAATTTACTTGGTTGAAAATTGGGTTGGAGATGGATGGACTGATGGTTTAGACGCCATCGTCGAAAAGATGACACATAGGCGAAGCAACAATGGGCGCTACTTCACAGGTTGCGAGTACAACATAATAGCACCCAGGTTGCTGACTCCCTAGTTTGTTGTTGTCGGAACGTTGAGCTTTTGCCGTCTTCACCCTAACAATAATTTTAGGATTTAACGAGTCAAAAACCCTTTTCTCTCCACCCCATGGGTGAGCCGTCGCCTACTACAACTAACAACCACCACCACCATCCACCTAAGCCATCGGACTCACCCACCACCGGTAGCCTCTCACCGCCCTCTACAACCTCTGTCCATCATCTTCTCACAAATCCACCGGAAACAGCCCTATTCTCCAAAAACCCTTTAGTCCTTATCACCACACAACCTTCCCACCCACATCCCAAGCCGTCGGGCGCCGCCACAAGCGTCGGCAAGACCCCTTCCTCACAATCCCCCAACCTACCTTGCCTTAGGCCACCCAAATTAGCCACGGCCTCCACCGATCCTCTCCAACCCGTGATCAACCTTCCAAGCAACTCCCTTCTTTCCGGCCACACCCACACTTCAAATCACCCACCATATATCTCTCCTCCCCTAGCCAGCAGTTCCCATGGAGATTTGTCAACAAAATCATGCCAAATTTAAATGTTCAGCAGGCACCTTACAGACGGGATTGTGTGCAAAATCTAATTCAATTGGTGATCTTAATGTTTTACAATTAAATAATTCAACCCCCAATCATGCAATTGAGGGTGAATTGGGACAATTGAAGCCAAGAACGTATGCTAAGGTGTTAAATGGGTCTCTAGTAAATGATTTGGATTTAGATTAATGTTCTTTGGAATTAAATTTTAGTAAGCCTCAGTGTGATAATGGTCGAGTTAAGGTGGTTCCTCCTATAGAGGTGGCTGTCTCAGGATGTGAAATGTGGATGTCGACCTTGGTTGGTTCATTTGTTGGAAAGAAATTAGCTTTTCCTGTAGTGAATTCCATTGCTCATAAATTGTGGGACAGATTTGGCCTTAAAGAAGTTCTATCCTCAGATGCTGGGTTCTATTTCTTCAAATTTGATTCTCTCCACCAAGCTCTTTTAGTTCTTGAAGGAGAGCCTTGGAATATGGCTAATAGGCCACTTATTTTGAATCGTTAGAAACAAAATATGACTCTGGCCAAGGAGAATTTACAATGCATTCCTATTTGGGTGAAGCTTTATAATATTCCTTTTCAGTATTGGATAGCAAAGGGATTAACTCATATAGCTAGTGCTGTGGGACGTCCTCTACGGACAGATGTGGTCACTCTTACAAGTAAACGTCTTAGCTATGCACGTGTTTGTGTTAAGATAAATGCTTTGGAAGAGTTAGTGGAGGATTTTGATTTTAGTTGTGCGAATGGGGATTGGTTAACTATTTGTGCTGAGTTTGAATGGGTCCCCATTAAATGTTCGAAATGTGGGGTATTTGGCCACAATTGCTCTTCTCAAATTAAGCCTAGTGAGAGTAAGGGTAAGCTCGTTTGGGTCGCTAAGGATAAGCCTAGCTCGAGTGATGTAGCTAATGAGAAACCACTTATTGAAGATGAATGGACCCATGTCTCACATAAGAGGAAATCTTCAGGTAGTGTTGATTCTGGTGTTGCTATGCCTATTCAAGAAGATGACATTCATACTTTGACGGATAATTCTATGGAGGTACAGGAAGAGGTTGATCTGCAACCTTCGCATAGGGATCTTGGAAAGCATTTGGTGGTTGGTAAGGTGAGTCATGGAGAAATTGACAAGTCATCTTCACCTAGTAATCCTGATTTGCAACTGGTGGTCTCGAATGTGCCTAATGAGAATACTAAAATTGGGGAAGAAGGAGAAGTTTCTCCAATTCCACTTGCCATTCTAGGTGAAGATGATAGTGATACATCTATCCCTCAGTCTAACATGTTGGCAACAAAAGCTAGAGGTTCACTTCAGAAAAAGAAGAATGGATTGATGGACAAGTATAAAAAGGGCAAGAAGCATCACTACCCTAGGGAAGGTAGATGGCGTTAGCCATTTTGAGGTTGTGATTCTCTCCTTGACTTTAATCATGTTTTTTAGATGCTGGAATATGAGAGGGTTAAATGACCCCCCTCAAACAATCTGAAGTAAAGAACCTCATTGCTTCCAATAGGCTTTCTTTGTATGGGTTAGTGGAAACTAAAGTTAAGGAAAAGAATCAAAATAAGGTGATGAATGTCATCTTCAAGTCTTGGAGTGTCCTTACGAATTATAATTGTTCTCCGCTCAGCAGAATTAGGGTATGTTGGAATCCAAATGATATAGATGTATTGCTGGTGGGTTGTTCTGCTCAAGCTATCCATGTTCGTGTTAATGCATGTAATGATAAATGGAGTTGTGTGGTGTCAGTGGTATATGGGGATAATACCTCAGTTAAGCATGTTGATCTATGGGCTGATTTGGTAGCTAGGCATGGAGGTTTTATTTACTTAGCATGGGTGATTATGGGGGACTTCAATTATGTTCTCTCTCGTTTAGAAGTGGAAGGTGGTTCTTCTTCTTGGCTTGCATGGCAAGATGATCTTGGAAATTTCATGCAACAGTGGGTTTGGATGATTTGAAGTTTGATGGCTATTTATATACGTGGTCTAATAAGCATTTATCTGATCCTATTCTAAAGAAACTAGATCGTGTATTGGTGAATTCGAAATGGGAGGATGAGTTTCAGGGCTCAGCAACTACCTTTCTTACTGTTGGTGTGTCGGATCATTCTCCTATGGTTGTGAAACTTGTAGAGTTACCACGTAGGAAGATTCCATTTTGCTTCTTTGATTATTGGATGGATCACCCGGATTTTTTTTCTTTGGTGGCTCGGGTTTGGGGTGAAATGGTCGTGGGAACTCTTATGTTTTCTCTATGTTCGAAGTTGAAGAAAAAGCTTGCCTTGAAAGATTTTAATAAAGAGCATTTTTCACATCTACCTACGAAAGTAACTCAAGCTCGATCTAATCTAGAACATATTCAGTATTTGATTCAACATTCGCCTTTGGATCCATCTTTACACGGGGAGGAGGCTCGATTACTTAAGAAATTTTGCAAGTTGAGTAGGGTCGAGGAAGGTTTTTTAAGAGAAAAAGCTCACGTTAAGTGGCTGAATTTAGGAGACCAGAATACTTTCTTCTTCAAGGCTAAGAAAAGTCACTATGCCAAGAATAAGGTGGTCTCCATTTGTAGAGATAGTGGTACTAAAGTAGAGGAGCCGCATGATGTTAATAAAGTTATTGTGGATTTCAATCAAAATCTCCTTGGACAGCAACCTAATGGTGAGACTCTAGATATGGACTTGCTTCAAAGGGTTCTTCCTAAGAGTATCTCAGCGTTGCAACATGAAACCCTTGATAGAGATGTGTCATTTGAGGAGATTAAGGAGGTTTTGTTCTCTTTGAAAGATAATAGGGCTCCGGGCCCAGATGGTTTTAATGTAGGTTTCTTCGAGAGGGCTTGGAGTATTGTGGAAAATGATGTTCTATGTGCCATCAAGTCCTTCTTTGACTCGAGGCTGTGCTTCCGGTACATGATCTATGTGCCACCAAGATAACGTACCGGAAACACAGCCTTCTTCTGGTACGTTATCTTGGTGTTCCACTTATCTCTACCAAATTGCAAGCTTCAGATTGTAAGGTGTTGGTGGATCGTATTATAGCAAGGGCAAAGAGTTGGACTTGCCGCACACTCTCCTATGCGGGTAGGTTACAACTTATTAAGTCGATGTTATTTTCTATTCATGTTTATTGGTCTTCTATATTTATTTTACCTAAGGCCATGATCAAGCAAGTGGAAGCTAGTCTACGAGCCTTCTTGTGGAAGGGATGTGACCTTGGTAACAGTGGGATTAAAGTGGCTTGGGCAAAATTTTGTATGCCTGAGGAGGGAGGCCTAGGTCTGTGGAACATGGAGATATAGAATAAGGCTGCTACGTTAAGACACCTTTGGTCGCTTTGTACGGATTCTGGGTCCTCTCTTTGAGTTTCGTGGGCATAGTGCTACTTACTTAAAGGTAGAACCATTTGGGAATTGAAATGTCCTAGGGATTGCTCTTGGATTTGGAGGAAGATTCTTAGAATTAGAGACATAGGGAGGGACAAAATGAAATTTAAAATTGGTAATGATAGACGTGCTTCACTTTGGTTTGATAATTAGCATCCTCTTGGCCCTTTAGAGAGGATTCTTGGTGAGAGGATCGTTCATGAATCTAGATTGAGCAGATTAGCTAAAGTGGCTGATATTGTTGACGATGACACTTGGAGATGGCCATCAGCTCGTTCCTCAGCATTGTCTGATTTCATGTAAGGCACACTTGATACTTTTCGACTGGATTGTACTAGAGAGGATGTCTTACAGTGGGTGAATGATGTGCATGGAGTCTTCTCTGTTCAGAGCAATTGGGAGTCTCTTCGACCTCGTTGCCCTAGGGTGACCTGGTATCACATTGTATGGTTCCCTAAATGTATTTCTCGTCATGCATTTATTGTTTGGCTAGCAATTCAAGGTGGCCTCCATACACAGACAAAGCTTCTTCGCTTTGGCTTGATACAAACTATGCTGTGTGGTTGTTCAGAAGAGGATCTAGACCATCTTTTCTTTGCTTGCCCATTTTCTGAGCATGTTTGGCAAGCTCTGCATGCGAAATGTAACCTGCCTTGGGTTCAGCGAAGATGGTCAAATGCTCTTTCTTGGATCGAGCAGTTTCATGGGAGGTCATTGCATTCTACTATTATTCATTTGATGTTTACAGCTTCGATTTATGCTATTTGGCGTGAGCGTAATGTTAGGACCCATGATGAGGCTCCTAAACTTGAGTTCGCTGTTATTCGGGACATTGTTTTTACTATTTGTGCACGAGTGCATTTATGTAAGGGCTTGGCTCCATCTAATGAAAATAGATGGTTCCAACGCTCATGAGGTTTTTCTGTGAATATTTTCTCTTGTCATGGCTAGGCTAAAAATCTAGGATCTTGTTATTGGTGCTAGGAATGCATATATTCCTAGCCTTGTTTCCTGGGGGTATGCCCCTATGATCTTGTACTTTATTTTCACACTATGGATATAATACACTTATCTTATCCAAAAAAATAATAATAATTTTAGGGTTTCAGTTTGATTTTGAGGCTGGGGCCTCTATGCTAATTTACAAAATTATAGGCCCCTCGTTGTAATATGATTTTAGGGTCATGGTATAATTTTAAAAAGAGAGGCTGAAAGGGGCAGTTTTTTTATTTTGAATTGGGTTGGAATATACTTTTTCAAAAGGGGTTTTGAATGCAATTTTGAAAATGAGCTTAAATTTGATTTAAAAAAGGCTTACCTATATTTTCATTTTTTGACCAAAAATATAATTTTGATCCGAATTGAAATTTTATTTTAAATTCATGAGGTTTTAAATTATTATTAAAATTAGATTTGAACTTAAAACATTAAACTTTGAACCAAAATTATATTTTATTTTATTTAGGAGTTTTATTCAGAATTAAAATATTGATTCAATTGAAATCAAAGTTGGACTCTAACTTGATATTTAATTAGAATTCGATTTTAATTTGATTGTTCCACCATAAAATTTTCTTGGAATTAGAGTTGGATTTAATGTGGTATTTAATTAAAATTAGATTTTAACTATATTACTCCATCCTATAAATTTGTAATTGGAGTTGGACTCTAATTTGATATTTAATTAAACAAAATTTTCCTAAAATATATGTGGAATTAGAGAGTGGACTCTAATTTGATATTTAAATAAAATCTGATTTTAATCTAACAAATTTGCTAATTTAATTAATTAATTAATTATTTTGATCCATTATATATATAGGGGGGTCTACAATATATTAAAATTGTGAATTGAGGAGCAACTTTTGAATACCAATTTTACTCTTACTTATTTAGTTATATGCCAATTCTACCCTTATATATTTAATTTAATACAATTTAATAAAATTTAACTTTATATAATATACATTTAAGTGTAATGCTATTGATTAAATTATTTTTTTATTAATTTCTATAAATGGTTCTTTAAGGCCATCATTTGAGCTCCTTAAACATCCATTTTTCAATTTCATTTTGAATTAATTCTATTAATCAAATTAAAATAATTTTTTTAAATCTCAAAATGAGAATTTAGGGTCATCATTTGAGTTCCTGAAACAACAACCATTTTCAATATCATGTTGAATAAATTGAATTGTTGCTTTTAATAAAAATCCCTTATATTTTTAGCTATACGTCAATTCTATCCTTATATAACGTAGTATCATTTAATATAATTTAACTTCATTTAATATCCATTTAAATGTAATACTTATTATTTTTTATTGGAGTACTTAAAATTTTACATTTAATCAAATTAATTTTAATTACTTAAATTACATTATTTAAATTAAGTTTACCACTTAAAATCTAAGCTCACGTATAGATGTAATTTTATTATAATTACATAATAAATTATATTAAAGGTTGCATTAATATAATGATAGATTAATTATCATATAAAATAATATTTATTATATTTTTAATATGATTATATATGTAGACGAGCTTTGATTTTAAGTGATTAAACTTAATTTAATTAATCTAAAATTACGAGTACTCCAATATGAAAAATGAACGCTATTCTTAAAAGAAGACTACATGAAATTAAATTTTCATTAATCTATCATTAGTGTCACCTTTAATATATTATAATGTTATTTATACTATATATATATATATATTATTTATATAGGTGAGCTTCACTTAAAATCAACATTCATCTACTTATATAATTATATTATAATTATAATATATATAAAAATAAAATGTGGAGATAGATGAGAAATGTTCAATTTATAATTTTATTTTTATATAACATTGTCAATATTCTCATTCAAAATTTATAAATTTCACGTTTAATTAATTAATAGTTGATAATTTAACTATTTAAATACAATGAACAATAAATTGAAAAGAAAAAAAAAACTGCTTAAATGTGATCAGCAATTAGAAGGGAAAGAATCAATGATGGAAGAAATTATCCATCAACAAAAAAGTTTATCGTACAGACAAAATGAGTAATTTT